GGGACATAGACTGAGGGTATTTGGACCGAAGAGAAATGAAGTGACGGGAGGTTGGAGAAAACTGCATAATGAAGGGCTTCATAACTTGTAATCTTCTCCAAGTATAATTAGAATGATCAAATCAAGGAGGATGACGTGGGTAGGGCATCTAGCACAAATGGTGGAAAAGAGGACTGCATATAGGATATTGGTGGGAAAGCCAGAATGAAAGAGACCACTAGGAAGACCAAGACGTATGTGGATGGACAATATTAAAATTTATCTTAAAGAGACAAGATGAGATAGTGTGGATTGGATTGATGTGGCTCAGGATACGGACCAGTGGATGGCTCTTGAGAACACGGTAATGAACCTTCGGGTTCCATAAAATGCTGGGAAGTTCTTGAGCAGCTGCAGAATTGGCGACTACTCCAGAAATGCTCAGCTGCATGAGTGAGTGAAGAGACAGGTTTTGTGTAAAGCTTGTTGAAGTAGCATGTTTTAAGAAAGCCGAAGTTTTAGCCCGTGTTTATGAGCGTCCACCACTGGACCCTGTCGTGAGGCAGCAGGAGATAACAGTCCACGCCTCCAGAGCTGCCGGAATTGATGGAAGATTCTCTTTAATATGGCCCCCGTGGTTAGCATTCCTCCTACCGGATTTGGGCCTCGGCCCAGAGATGACCGGCGCCGTGACTGCTATCTCTCGGTCCATCCTTGGGCATTCTGGGATAATAGGCGTACACTGAAACTGTTGCTAACCGCTCCATTGAGATCCTTACTACTCACTCAGTCATTCGTATTCACGTCCCGCACAATAATGTTGATTCGTACAGTCGATAAAGTGTCGTTAAATAAGCTATCACACAAGTTGTTTCTTTGATAACGTGGTGCTGAGGAGAATTATTTGAACCTAAGCGGGATAAACTGCATAATGAGGAGCTTCATAACTTGTACTCTTTGCCAAGTATAATTAAATTGATCAAGTCAAGGAGGATGAGATTGGAAGGACATGCAGCATGAATGGGAGATAAAGTAAATACATTTGTGGTTTTGGTGAGAAGGCAAGAAGGAAAGGAACCATGAGGAAGACCTAGATGTGTGTGAGGATAATATTAAACGGATCTTAGAGAGGATGGGGTGGTATGGACTGTATTGATCTGGCTCAGGATAGGGACCAGTGGAGGGCTCTTGTGAAGACGGTAACTAATCTTCAAGTTCAATAAAATGTTGGGAAATTCTTGAGTAGTTGAGCGACTGGCGGCTTCTCATGAAGGGCGCAGCTCAATATAGTTAGTTCGTTAGTGGATACTTTATGCCTGGATACAAATTTGAAAGTCGCCGAAGTACAATAATTATATACTATTATATATACATATAGTTTGTATTTATATAATACTATTCATAAGATTTGAAATTATAGATCATTGTTTTCTTCAGACGCTAGGCCGAAACTCTTCTTATGGCTCGTTATACATTTGATGCGACCATTCTCCTCTTAATTTCCTCCTGAATCGGTTTCAGTACATACCAGAGTATTTGGGACAGTTTATTTAAAACACGAACTCCCAGAAGTGTTGTCTCGTTATAATGTTAATATAAAGTTGTTTATTTAAATAAGTTACTTTTTTTAGCAGTTTCAATACGCCAGCTGGAGATACACATAACAGAATTCAAGTAATTTTTTTGCATGATGTAGCCAGTCATTCGTGAAGATATTCCAGAGTTGAGCGAGTAACATAACTATGAAACGGCAGGGTGCAACTCGCGACCTTTCAGGTCTGAAGGAGTAATTTAGCTTTTTGATTACCCTCCAGTACTTCCTTCATGGTCCTTAGCTTTGGAATTCCAACGTCTAATATGGATGAACCATTGATTTTAAAATACCAGTTTCAATTTCACGTTGGCCTCTTCCGGACACCAAGACTTGATCTGTTCACTATTGTGAAAATAAGTTATTTGAGCCCTAATGATATGATTCAGTTTAGTACTTAGCGGTACTCTGATCTTTTCTGCTATGTTTTTGCACTAAAACGTCACTGGGTTAATGTATGATAGGTTGGCTACCCCGCAGGCGCTCGTATAATCACGATTCTCATGGTTCAGCGATGTTTCTTTATCGTCACGATGACAGCAAGCTGATGATAACGCTGTCGCTGTACACACAGATAGACAGAGTACATTCAGTGCCGATTTCTGTGATGGTGCAATTATTTACGGCAGTTTTTCTGGCCTGGCGCTGTATCTATTCAAATGACAGGAATGCGTGTTTATAAGAACGCCGCCAAGGGCAGTTGGACTGTACGATTTGACAAATAGCCTCACAACTGTACCTAAACTCAGAGATGTAGATAACATACATCTGTTTCTCAGAACACGGCATTGCAAGTGTTATCGCGGTGTTTAATTTAACATGGCGCTATATTAAAGAAGAAAACGGCCCGCCACTTAGTTTTCTGTAGGTAAGCTAAAAAAAGTAAAGTTGTCCCTGTGATTAACTAATTAAGCACTACGCCATGAAGGCGTATAGGGGAGTGGATGTATACATCCACGTTTTCTTTACCGCTGCGCTAGCTGAAGGTGAGTGGTCAGCTTTACGCCCCGGCCGCTTTACCCTCGGGGAAAGAGCCGAATTTATCCTTTGGTTAAGAGATTGGGTGGACTCCAGAGCTGGTCTGGACGACTTGGAGAAGAGAAAATTCTTACCCCACCGGGACTCGAGCTCCGACCCCTAGGTCGTCCAACCGACTGCGCTATCCCAGCAAATTTTCTGTACGTAATTTTAAATAACGTTTCATTGTCCTGGTTTTACTGTATATTAAATCTTCTAGTGATTATGGCATATTTGTGTCCAAACATGAAATATGCAATTACTTTTTATGAAATCAGAATGATTTGTAGAATGCCACTGATCTCCATCTGGTGCTGAGGTCGAGAAAAGTGCAGCCATACCTCCACTCCCCCATGACTTCATGACAGCTCTTAACTAGTTAAGCACAGGGGAAACTTTACATTTATGTCTTACGTCCTATGAATTAATCCAAATTTATGGAAGATATCGAGGTATGTCCCTCCATTGGTACTGAACTATCTCCTCGTGAAATAACTTCCCAATATTAGTTAGTAGCAGTGCAAGAAATAACTCACCATACTTCTGACATTTCAGAGTAAGGGAAGGTATTGATTACTGACAGTAGGTGTCGTGACTGTCGCTCACCTGTGTTTCTAAGTGTAGTTGTGTTATCTCGGGACCGGCATAGCGACTGGCTACGGGCTAGAAGACCGAGGGGTCAGAGTTCGAGTCACAGTAGGGTCAAGAATCTTCTCCACGTCGTCCAGACCGGCTGTGGGGTCCACCCAACCACCTATCCAATGGAAACTGGGACTAAAGCGGCCGGTGCGTGAAGCTGACCACTCACCTCCAACTATTGCCGAGGTCAAGAAAATGTGGATCTATATATCTACTCCCCCATACGTCTTCATGGAGTGGTGCTTCATTAGTTAAGCATAAGGACAATTTTATCTTTTAATTGTGTTATCTGGTTTAAGATTCAGTTATGTCTGAAGTATGATTGTATCATAAAATGGGCGCAGAATGCAGGAATCGCGTCAAGAATTACTTTACTTACTCTTTCAAATATATTTAATAGTGTATGTTATTCGGCCCTTTACTTAATTTTGTTACGTGACTAACGTGAGCTGAACGCTTTACATGCCCGTTATTTCGTTCCACGCACTCTTATAGCCTATATGCTACAAGAGGTCTCACGCCGGGGATAAAGAGGCCGGTGCGTGAAGCCATGAAGTAAGTTCCGAGTCAGAGCTTCACCGAGAATGTGATAATGTGTTGCCTGGTTAGAGCTGTTGCACGTTTCAAGGTTCTGTAGTAGGTGATTAGCGTGGTGAAAGCTAGGAAACCCGTAGAAAAGCCTGTCACAGAGCCAATAATCCATCACGAATCTGGCACAAATCCATTGGGGATTGAATCTTGGCCTCTGAAGTTAGAAACCATCCCCCAACGGCCTGACTCATGGAACCGTCTCGAAGGCCTTCAGCGAATTGCAGTCAGCGTCGGTACTATATTTCATAATCTAAACTTATCACGTTAATTGAACTTATAAAAAGTAAAGTTATCCCTGTAACAGGCCGTGGAGACCCATAGGTCTGTGAGACGTTGAGGCTCCCACATGTTCTTCAGAAAATCGGCTCACAGATGGCGGTGAGTTTGTCAGCCTTACGCAACTTTCCCCTTTTACCCCCAGGAAGATTCCTGGTACTCATTTCTGTTAGAAGCTGAGTCGACCCCAGGGCCATGGTGCGGCTGGAAGGATTAGGTAAATTGAAAAACCCACCTCAGTGGGACTCGAACCCGCGATCTTCAGGCTTGTAGCATAGTGCCTCAACTAACTACTAGAGTAAAAAAGTAAAAGTAAAGCTATCTCTGTAACAGGCCGTGAAGGCCCATAGGGTTGTGAGACGTTAAGGGTCCCACATTATCTAGACAATCGGCTCAAAGATGGCGGTAAGGTTGTCAGCCTTACGCGCCGGCCGCGCTTTACTCCCCAGGAAAATTATTTAATTAATTCCTGGTACTCATTTCTGTTAGAAGCTGAGTAAACCCCAGGGCCTAGTGCGGCTGGGAGGATTAGGTCAACTGAAAATATCCAATGACCTCATCGGGACTTGAACCCGCGACCTTCCGGCTTGTAGAATAGCCCCTCAACCAACTACGCTACCGCGTGCCCCGCCTCAACTAGCTACTTCTTTACTTAATTTTTCGGTTCCTGTTCCACCTTGCACTCGGTTCTATCTATGTTAGGAATTCGTGGAGCCATATCTCCTTTTCCCCACTACATCACGGTGTATTGCTCAGTCACAAGGACTGTTTTACCTCTGCTTTCACAATGGTTGCTGTTTACGGTGTGCTCGCGGTGCCCTGTATCTGTCTTGCTCTAATGTAAGTGAATTTCTGTGATTTTTATTTTGTTCATATTTTACTAAGAATCTTGTGTCGTTCTTTTCAGAGATGGCAGCGGCGCTGGTTTGTGCTTTACGACGATGGAGAGCTGAGTTACTCCGTGGACGAGCATGTAAGTAACATGAAACCGCCCGCAGTAATTAGAGGCGTTGGTCTGTCTCCCGCAGAGAGCTGTCCGACTGGTGAATCTGCTTAATTGTTTCTTAGAGAAATGGTAATATTTGACATCGCTTCAAAACACTGTCTACTTCACGCCGTAAGTTGTTAAATTAGGAATGAACAGCATAATTCACTGGATCAGGTATAACCGGAAAGTTTTAACTCAGGGTCATGACAAGAAAAGCGTCCTGTGTACAGTTCCTTTCAAAATCTTGAAATAAATAGTGGTTGCGCAGTGTTAATCGAATTTTTGTGCCAGTGTCATTCCGTTTAAGGGAGGAACATAGACAGGGTGTTGAGAATATTTGAACCGAAGAGAGACAAAGTGACATGAGGTTGGAGAAAACTGCATAATGAGGAGCTTCATAAATTTTGCTCTTCGCCAAGTATAATTAGAATGATCAAATAAAAGAGGGTGAAATGGGCAGGGCATGTAACACGAATGGGGGCGAGGAGGAATGCATACAGGATATTGGTGGGAAAACCGGAAAGAAAGAAACCACTAGGAAGACCAAGTCGTAGGTGTGTGGACAATATTAAAATGGATCTTAGAGATAGGATGGGATGGTATGGATTGAATTGATCTGGCTG